TACCCGCCCCCAAGGATGGACCAGAGTGGGAAGCGCACTCCGAGGCACTAGCCGCCGCTCTGGGAGCCGGGGCCTCTCTGAGGTGGAAGACGGAGGGCGAGCGGCTGCAGGAAGCGCCAGGGCGCGAGCGGAGGAGCTCACACTTCACCTCGCCGCCCAGCCCCGGTCCTGTAGGGCTCCGCCGGCGCCCAAGTGGCACTTGCCTGGGAAATCTCAGCGCAGTGGCCGGGGTTGGCTGGTGAATCTCTGCCAATCAGAGAGGGAGGTGCACGTGACGTCAACAGTGGCTGGGCAGATTAGGCCAACACAGGTTGCACAGAGAGGCGGGGTTTAGGGGAGTTTAACTCAGCATGGCCCCGTCAAGCGGCCATCACGCGAGGAGGTGCGGGCTGAAGGGCAGCGCTGTGGGTGCCTGCAGGCTGGGGGACCGTTGACCCGGGAGAGGCACCAGGAAGGACCACGTGGGCAGGTTCAGAGGCTGCGCCCTCTCCTGGGTGCACCTCCCCCACGCGCTGCGAGTATGTTCTGTGGCCCCCAGACCCGTCCTCAAGACCCAGAGCCCCCGCTACCCCGGTACCTCCGCCCTTTTATAAAGCGATGCGCATATGAACATCCCTCCGCGCCGACGTGACCCCGCTCCGGCCTCTTGCGGACTCCGGGTTTCTCCTGGAGGCTGCGCCTTACAGGGGGCGACTCCCACCCGCTCCGGAAATGTCCCGGGGGGGTGCCCGCTCCCGCGGGGTCTCCCCCTCATCCCATCGCCAAGGGGCTTTCGAAGTCGCTCCATCTCTTCCTTCCTTTCTTCCGGCCGCCTACCCCCTGCTCCCACCGTCCCTGCAGGGAGCGGAGGAGCCTGGCCCCCGCACACACCTGGCCCCCGCGCCCCTGTCTCCTTCGCGGAAAGGGCAGGGGGATGTGGAAGACATGCTGGTTCCCTCCCCTTCGGGCTGCGGGCTTTCGCTTTCACTTCCTCGTGCGCGAGCGGCAGATCTCCGGGTGCTGGCCGTCATGGCGCTGCTGGAGGTGTGCGGAGCCCCCCGAGCGCGGCCCGACGACTGGGCTTTCCCCCTCGCGGGAGGCCGGTCCGGCTCGGACCCGGGACACTACAGTTTCTCCACGCGAACTCCGGAGCTCGCCCTCCCGCGGGGAGGGCA